GCTTTCTGGGGGAGCTTTAAAGGGGGTTGATTTCCTCCTCTGGCCAACAAAGAGTGGTAGCATGGGCTCTGTGTGTGTGTCCAGCTCAGCTGCTCTGCTGGGGTGCTCAAGGTAACCCTTGAGCCCAAACGCATGGGACAGACTTTGCTTATGGATGGGGATATCTTGTAAGGGAAAGCCAAAGCCTGCAAGGGGGCATCCCACCAGGATGCATCCAAACTAGAGGCTGGAAACCTAGATTCAGACATTCGCTGAAGTTTGGAGAAAGAAAAGCCCATGTTGATTGATGGGCCATAGTAAGGTGAGAAGGTCTCCAGCCATGACATGATGACACGCAGAAACATTGCTCCCTCCTGCGTGACAGCCAGTCTTGAGAAAGGTCTAAGCCTACCAGATCCCATGAAGAGCTCCCATGTCTGTTGCCACTCCGTTGTGAGCAATGGTCCCTTGCCATGAGATAGACTGAGCTCAATCTAGTGTGAGGCTTGAAGACCAAGCACAGTGGGGAGGACAAGCCAAGCAGTGTCTGAGCCTGGGGTGAGCAGAATGCTGGGTCAATGGGCCAGGAGAGCTGAGCCATGGCCTTCATCAAGTCCCAAAAACATTGCTAAAGCCAAGCAGGTCCCAGCCCAAGCAGCCAATTCCATCAGCTTATGTCCTACATACCACCCTAGTCTAGTTTCCCACGGAGTAAAGGAAAAGGTACATGAGGGATGGAGAGAGCAGGGGGCTGTGATGAGATCACCCCAAGGACCGATGCTCTGTGAGCAGCTATTGAAACCAGAGCAGGTAGGGCACTGCAGGGACAGATCCTGCACACCGACTGGCAGAACTGCATTCCAGCTCCGGTTCTGGTCAGGCTCTGCACAGCCCTTGCAGCCTCCAAGGCAGCTCTTGGTCATGATTCCCCATGGCTGCTCTATGCCAGGGTCTGTCCTGGCAGGCCAGCTGCAGTTAAAGTGCTGTTAAGTATTCAACGAACAGATTCTCTTTGTTCTCCCTGTTTTGAAGTGCATTGCCAAAACCTCAAGTATCTTCACTGAAGGCTCAGACATTCCTGTGATTTCTGCTGTGTTTGGTACGTCCTTCATTCCTTTACAGTGGCAATGCCCAGAATAAATCTCCTTAAACCTCAAAGCTGCTACATTCAAAGCAAACAAACAAATGGTCCCAGCCTCCAGGTGACCTCACTGTCTCCATGCCTACGTGTGACCTTACTTGCTAATTCTGGACACTGATTTTGCACATCATGTCTCTTCCAGGTACCTTCTCAATCCTGATACTCATTTTGGAGACATCCTGCATGCAGTGCAACCCTGGTGTCTGGAGAGTCAATCTCCAGCGTACCCATGCTTCCCAAGCCTCATGCACCTCAACACTGCACCAAGGTGCTCATGGCAGCAGCAGATTCATGCATGTTCATGGAGGGTTCTAGAGGCAGCACTTCACCCCTGGCCAGAGGAGAGCCAGCTCAGGACAGGGCAACCAGCACTGGATGGGACATCCAGGCTGAAGAGCACTCATGCTGGGAAGCGCCCATGGAGCTGTGAGATGAGGGGATCCAGTGCTAATCACATCCCAAGCCCCACAGGAGTCTCTCTGAGGTCCCCGCAGTGGCACTGGTGCTGCACTCATCTCCTGCTGGTGTGAGGGGTGCATGGCGAGCTGTGCTGCACTGGTGCCTGCTGCCTCCCTTGCTGTGGTGGGACAGGGCTGTGGGGCTTTGGGGGTTAGCTTTGGAGGGAGCCTTGCATGGCCAGGCTGGGCTATGGGCTGCTGTGGGACCGGCAGCGCCGGCCTGTCACCTCTGCCTGTCTCACTGCACGCAGACATTCCCACTGGATGGAAATATGCCCAAAATAGCCCCTCTGCAGATTGTCTTTATCTAATCAGCACTCCCCTCCCGTGCATTTCAGGGAGCTGATAGCCGTGATATGTGAAGTGTGGAAACCTCCAGCAAGCTGCCCGACACCGAGAGTAATTCTCCTTCCTGCACTTATCAGAGCCTGCTAATGGGAAACATTCCTCCTGGGGGTCAGGGAGCAGGCGGAGCACTGGAGAGGATGGCTGAGCCCCTGGCACCCTCCTGCCTCCCCAGGGATGGGTTGGAGCTGATCTGACCACCAGATGCTCATTGAAGGAGCAGCTCTGCAGCGTAGTGCTGCTGGTGCCCTGTCCCATGCGGAGAGGCTTGTCCAGCCCATGGGAGCACTTCTGAGGGGCTCCCTCCTCTCCCATATACCCCATCCTCATACCCTCTGTATCATGGGACACCAACATCAAGTACAGATCTACGTGGGGAAGAACTGAAGAACTGGGGTTCCTCAATGGTCAGGGGGAGATGCTCCCACTACCGAGGATGGTTGTGTAGGGCTGGTGGGACATTGGGGCAGCCTGCTTTGGGCAATGGCCACCTAAAGCAAACCCCTCTCAGGCTCCTTGTTCTGCACATGGGATTCTGTGGGAGGTCCGTAGGAGCCATGAGGACGCAGCGGGCATGTGAGCAGAGCCCAGCTCAGGCCTTGCCAGCAATGTGAGGATGAACTTCCTACCGCCCTGAAAACCACATCACAAACACCAGAGCCAAAGGCGCCCGAACCTGGCGGAACTGCGCTTCAGCAGCTGCCGGAGCAACCCTTCCACGTTTCCCCTTTACAGATCTGCTCGGCCTTTGATGGACCCTGCTGGAACCTCTTCAAAGAGGGACAGAAACCAGGGCGAGCAGAAGGAGCTGCCGAAGGAATCCCCGAACATAAAACCTCTTTAAAGACAAGGCCGGGAGGGGGTGAGCAGAGCCCTGGGAAGAATGTGCGGGGCTGGGCCAGCTGCTGGGGCTGGGTTCAGCCCACTGCTGGGCACTTCGGGCAAAGGTGCTTGGCACCGGAGCCACCAGAGCCTTGGGTCCCTCCAGGCTGTGGGTGGAAATCTGATGCAGAGCCCAGGGCAGAAGCAGGAGACCACCGGGGTAACCTCAAGGGACCCCATGTCCTCCGGCATCCCTGGCTCTTCAGGACACTGGCACTGCCGCCTCGGCAAGGTTGGGCACCTCTGCCATGGGTTCTCAATTGGGATCTCAGCTCTGGTGCCTCCAGAATGGTGTCCCCAGGGTGATTGCAGTGTCCTCATCCATGGTGTCTAATCCTGATGAGGACCTGAGCCTCTGAACTGAGCCTGATGAGACAATGCCCACATGGGACATGGAGGTGGGGGCTTGCTGATGTGCTCAGAGTCAGCTTGTCCAGGCTACAGGCTCCTCTCCGTGGGGCCGTTGTAATTCATGGGAACACTGGCACCATGCGATGCCCTTACACTGCACAGTGCAGCCAATGAAGGCAACATCCACCCATCCCTGAGCCCAGCCATCCTCTCTGTGGGGCTAAGGGTACCGGTCTGAGGTCCTCCATCCCATGAATGTCCCAGGCTTCACTCCACAGCAGGGTGGGAGGGCAGAGGACCTGCCTGTCGGTGGAAGGGATGGCACTGGGAGCCCAGCCCGGAGCCCAGCAGCAAATCATGCCTATGCATTGGATGGAAGCCTGGCCAGTGCTGGCCTTCAGCAGAACCCCCTTGCAGTGCCTGGCTCAGGGTAAGGGCAGGTTCTGGGGCTGCAGAAATCTCTGTTCACCCTGGGCTGTGTGCCCAGCCCGAAGCCACATGCCCTAAGCAGCTCCTAATGTTGCTATTCTGGCTGTGGCAGAGGCCACCCCACATTCAGGCTGGGCACAGCACTGTGCAGCTAATCCTTCATCACCCCGTGCCTCGGTTTCCCTTACTCTACAAACCCAAGTCACTGTGGGGTGTGAGGGGTGCTGAATGGGGAGCAGCAAAACCCTGCCGTCACGGGCCCTGGTTTTCCATTATCACCTCGTGGGATTATTTCTATGTCCCCAGGACACAACCACAGGAGTGAGGAGCACCGAAGCCCTTTGCCTTGGAGAAGTTGTGTGCTGGTCCTGTCTTTGACAGCAGCATCTCCTGGGCTGATGTTGCCAGGAGGGAGATGGGGTACAATAAAACATCCAGCCCTGCTTTGCTTTTTGAATGCACCAAAGCAAAGGCCAAGAGGAACAGAATGCTTGGTGGGAAGGCATGGGTGTCCTTCACCAACATGGGTAGAAACCTCAGCCTTTGGATACCAGCAACTAAAACAGCTTTTCCCTGAGCCTATGGCATGTCTGTGGGTCTGGGTGGCCCCACTGCGTCCCATTCCCATCTTGGGCAGTCCATGGTGCTCCAGGCTGTGACTACCATGTTGTACCCAGTAAAATGGTGTGGAGAAACCCAGTGCCCTCTCTGCTGAGAGATTCTGAACCTGGCCTAGCCATGGACCAAGCACATGGGAGCAGGACCTGGGGGCTACTGTTGGGTAGAGCTTGCCAAAGCAGAGCCCATCCATGCAGTGAGGCAGAGCAGGAGCTCGAGCCTGCCCTGGGGGCTCCCCACAGGCCACTGCAGCTCAAGGGAGCATCAGGCCCCTCTGACAAAACAGTTTCATGCATGTAACTAGAAAAGTCAGTCCTGGTGCTTGTGGTGATTGGTGTTAAACAGGCAGTGGCTGCTGTGCCTCTGAACAAGCCAAACCCTTTGAGAAGATGACAGTGGGGTAGCAGAGACCAAGCCCGGAGGTCCTGGGCAGTCTGTCCAGGGAGAGGCTGACCTGGAGCTGAGCAGGAGGTTGGGATGCTCCAGCTCAGAAAGCCAGCAGCCACACACATCCCGCCAGGCAGCACTTCCACTGGCAGGGTGTGGGGAAGAAGCAGGAGGGAGTGCTCAGGTGCAGGAGGGAACGGGGAAGCTCCCATCCCTCTGCTCCCCACCAAGCAGGCAGCACGGGCAGGCTGGGAGAGCTGCGCTGCCTTCCCGAGCTGGAGGCTCTGCCTTTGTACTCGCCTGACAATACAGGAATAAAAATAACCAGGCTGCACTTGCAGAGAGATAAAAGCGAGGTTTGCCTTTTGTGTCTCTCCGGGCAGTGGGACAGCAGCACCAATGGAGCTGTGTGGACATGACACATGGGAATTTCTGACATATCTTTTCCCACTCTGACCTTGACAGACACAATAAAAAGGGGCTTTGCTGCACGCACTCAGCCACTCAGTCCTATCACCAAGGTTAGTAAGAAAGAGCATGTCTGTGTTGCGTGCTTGTCCTCTGCTACTAACCCGCTTCACCTCTGCAGGGTGGGTGATCCCGGAGGACAGGGGCTGACTGCGGCGGTACAGGGGAGGGTGGGACAGACCTGCGCCAGGAGTCTTCTGCTAAGGGCTGTGTGCTGTGCCGAGCTCCTGGCTACCAGCAGTGGCCATGGTTGTGGTCGCTGCCACGTCCCGGAGCTCTGCTGTGTGATGCTGCAGTAGATGGATAACGGAAAGCACCAACTCCTCCAAGCAGCTCTCTTGGCGATCCTCTAGAAGGGGTCTTCCCAGGGATAATACCTCCAGCCTTGCTTTGATCTTCCAGCAGATCTGGGGCTGTGCAGAGGTTTTGTGCAGGGTACTAGGGCTCCAGCAGGTCTGTAGAGCTGGAATAGGCTTAGCTTTTATCAAGAAAAAGGGTGTCGTTGACGATCTCTGGTGACACCTACAATGTGAATGCTGGGTTTGACACCAAAGCGGTGCCGACTCACCCAGCTGGGACTGGATAGCGGCAGAAGGGAAAGTGTTTGGTAACTGCCTTGTTATTATGGTTCTTATTAGCTACTATTGTTGTTCTCTGTTGTCTCTCTAAAGTTAAAAGGTCTTTTGGTGAGCACGTTGCTCTTGGTAAGCAGCCCAGCGGCGGGCACTTTCCCCGTGCACTGATTCACTGTCCTTTCCCTCCTCGCAGCGTTCAGGTGTCCTGCACTCTTCCTTCACTGCTGCCAGGTCTTCCTCCAGCCAGGCAAGATGTCTATGCTGGACATGAGTGAGTTTGGGGAGGCTGCTGAGTACCTCCGGAAGAGCTACACAGAGCAGCTGAAGCTGCAGACAATCCCCTTCGATGGTAAGACCCTGAGGCAGCTCTCGGCACAGCCCCATGTGTGTTCCCCACGCCAGCCCCTTGGCCACGGCTCTCTTTGGAGACCATCCCCATCCCTTTCCCAGTGCTGCTCCTCATGGAGCTGGTGTTACAGAGCTGCCCCCACCACCATGGAGGAAGATCTCACAAGCAGGAAAAGCAGGTTTTTAACTCTCCCCTAGTTTACAGAGGTGGCCTTTGAGGGAGATGGGCTGAGGGAGGTCAAAGCCTTCTCCAGCTCCAGGTTGAAGGTGTCCGCACTGTCCCAGCCACCCCGCTGTACCGCAGCTCAGGCTCCAGGGCCCAACTTGCTCCTCTTGGTTCAGCAAAAGAGGAGAATTTTGCTTCCTCTCACCGTCCTTTTTTCATGATGGTCCCAGTGCAAGCGCACAAGAACAGCAGACTTGGGTCAGGCTAAAAGTCGATCCTGGCAAAATAAGCAGCTGCCAAACACAAAGAAGGCAAAGAAACCCCAGCTCCTAAGATCAAGAACATAGGAAGGAAGAATTGCTCTCCTTCCATGTTATCTGACTGCATTCGTGTGGCTTTCAGTTGACAATGTCAAATGGTTTCCTACATTTCAACCTGGTTTGTGTCCTTTCCTTTCCTTTCCTTTCCTTTCCTTTCCTTTCCTTTCCTTTCCTTTCCTTTCCTTTCCTTTCCTTTCCTTTCCTTTCCTTTCCTTTCCTTTCCTTTCCTTTCCTTTCCTTTCCTTTCCTTTCCTTTCCTTCCCTTCCCTTCCCTTCCCTTCCCTTCCCTTCCCTTCCCTTCCCTTCCCTTTCCTTTCCCTTTCCCTTTCCTTTCTTTCCTCTCTCCTCTCCTCTCCTCTCCTCTCCTCTCCTCTCCTCTCCTCTCCTCTCCTCTCCTCTCCTCTCCTCTCTCCTCTCTCCTCTCTCCTCTCTCCTCTCTCCTCTCTCCTCTCTCCTCTCTCCTCTCTCCTCTCTCCTCTCTCTCCTATCTCAATCTCATCTCTTTCCTTCTCCAGGAAAGAAGCGTGCTTGGATCCCGGATGAGAAAGAGGCTTATATAGAAGTGGAAATCAAAGAAAGCACTGGTGGCAAAGTCACTGTGGAAACCAAAAATAAGGAAGTAAGCAAAATACCTTTCCTTTCCCAAGGGATAGCAAGTGTGTGTGTGTGTGTGGATATATGTGACAGGCTCACGCTTAAACTAGCTGAGCTCCTGCTGATAACCCGGGTGATCAGTGGTGCCCCGAGGGTACGCAGTGTCAGGACACTGATGACCTGCCAGGAGTGGCAGTGGTTCAGCATCCCCCCATGGAGCGCTGGTTTTCGAACACAGTTCCTGTGAGGGCAGACCCAAGGGGACAGCCCTGGCCCAGCACAGCTCCAGGCTCTGGATGGAAAGGCTGCCCCAGTGCAGCCCTTTGCAATGCTGAACCCACTGCCCGGCTCCTCTCCGAGGTTCAGACCAGAGGTAAGGGGCCAGCTGGCCAATTCCTGTTCATTTTAGCGGGGATTTGCAGTGGATTGTGGCGCTGTTGGGAGAACAGGCGCTAGGCAAAGGGCAGCCCCAGCTATGCCTTGTGGTGAGGCTCCAGTCTGCCAGCAGCGGGAGGGAGGCAAAGCAAGGCAGGGTCAGCTGGTATTTATCAGGATAATGAGCAAACAAGGATCAGTTGATATTATTGGTAACATCCAGTGCCAATAGCTGCAAATGGAATAATGAATATTCCTGTCTTGGCTAGGGGAGTCTCATGGCCCCACAACTTCATCACAGTGCAGAGACTCAAGACTGGTGTAACACTGGGGAAGAAACCCAAAGACCTGCCCGGGCAGTAAATCACAGGCTTTATTATTGCTATTCCTCAGTTGGTCAGAGTGGCACTGAGAAGCGCTCGTGTCTGCCAGGTTTAGAAGAAATACATGTAATTGTCTATGAAAGTGCCAAGGCTTTGAAAACATTTTTGTTTGAAACTGGGGGAAAAAAGTAATGAAATTTGCCCTCCCCAAAATGAAATTTATTGGGGAGGGGGTATAAATTTTAAAAATTATTCTGATATTTGAAAGATCTTCGGCTTCTGTGAGCGAAGCAGATTCCAAACCTCTTTTGCTGCTCCCTCTTGAAACTGTCTTGTTTAACAATGTCACAGATGACTTCTGAAAGTGTATCTGCTTTCCCTGGATCAGCATTTCCAGCTCTCGCTTCTAACACCTAACACCTTCTAACACCACACGCTTCATAGCCATCTGTAAAAAACCTCTTTGAAAGGTTTCATTTCATCTTTATTAACAAGACCATTTGCTAAATGCAGCTTCTTCCATTCAGGCCAGATTCGTAACGTGATAGCTTCCCAGCGCTTGGGATTAAATAAACGCAGTTATCAGTGATGGGGTGCAGGCTTCAGCTGTTTGCCCAAATAACCAGGGATCTCTCTAAGCACAAGTCCATGTTTCCCACAGGGTTTTAGGCTGTGAAGAAGGGCACAGGACAGGGGTGTTGAGCATGTTGTGGGCTGATATCATGGTGCCCCCCAGCTTGCATCCCCTCTGTTGGTCTCAGCCGCGGCCCATCTCCCTGGGAGAGAAGAGGTCTGGAGTTTGACTGTCGCAACAGGGCTTTGTGGCTGGAGCCCTGCTAACCCCACCAGCCCACATGGGAGGACAGCAGGCATGGGGCAGGGTGCCCAGCATGCCGATGTCATGTCCACCCATGCAGCAGTTTAGAGGGTGTTCACTGGGGACGGGGGTCGATCTGACCTGTGCCCCTCCTCTGGCAGACGCGGGTGGTGAAGGAGGATGAGCTGCAGCCCATGAACCCGCCCAAGTTCGACATGATCGAGGACATGGCCATGCTGACGCACCTCAACGAGGCCTCTGTGCTCTACAACCTGAAGCGCCGCTACTCCCACTGGATGATCTACGTAAGCCACTGGCACCCCGGCAGACGGGGGTCACCCGGTGGGGTGGGGAGATGAAGGGGCATCAGGGCATCCCCATCCCTCACCCGCCCTCTTTCCCTTTGCAGACCTACTCGGGGCTCTTCTGTGTCACCATCAACCCCTACAAGTGGCTGCCCGTCTACACGGCACCGGTGGTGGCAGCCTACAAGGGCAAGAGGCGCACGGAGGCTCCCCCGCACATCTACTCCATCGCCGACAATGCCTACAATGACATGCTGCGCAGTAAGCCCTCGCTTTGGGCCCCCCATCCTGGGGGGTCTGGGCTCCTGGGGTTGGGGGTGAGGGGGGTGGCACTGTCCTAATGCCTCCTCCTTCTCTTCCAGACCGTGAAAACCAGTCCATGCTCATCACGTAAGTGCCCCTTGCCCTGCTCAGTCTGATGATGCTAAGTGCTTGGGCAGCACCCTGTGCCCGAGGGGAGCCCCTCGGCCATGTCCCCCATCCCTTCCCACTCAACCTCACACGTGAGGTGACAAGCAGGCTCCCCTGCACCCCAAAGCTGCCATGGGGCCCCCCAACTGCCTCTGAGGAGCAAGGGGAAAGGAGAGATGGAGGCCAAGGCCAGAGGAAGATGGTGGCAGAGGTGGCCAGAGGGGCGGTGGTGGGGGAGGAAGGTGACGTGGGAGGGTGTAGGCCAGGTTGATTTCAAGTGACATATAGATAAGGGCTATATAAAGGACTCTAAAGGACCCTATGCCGCTGCCAGGAGCCGTGGACATTTTTAGCCTTGGCCATAGCCTAATTAGGAAACGTAGGGGCTGCAGAGAGATGCTTGGTGCGTGTCCGGTGGCAGCTCTGCTCCCCCCGGGCTCTTTGTGATCTGGGATTACAATGGGAGAGCAGCTAACTATAGGGATGAGCTCAGCCAGCCCGCCGGCTGTGCCTGATGCAGCATCCACCCGGTGTGGTGGCTCCAAGACCCCCCAGCAAAGCAGAGAGTGCTGAAACCCCCCGAGCGGGAGCAGCAGACCTGGGTCCTGCCTGATCCTCACAGCTGAAGCCCCGGGGCTGGGGCTGTACGGCCGTGGTCGGTGCCAGCACCTCCTGCCATAGCTGCAGCGGGCAGCTGAGCCCCTGCGGCACCCCCAGCAGGACACAGTGAGGATGGAGCTGGGTTTCGCTCCTAAGACAAGCCCCAAAGACAAGCACGCACACCCGCAGGCTGGAGGGCATTGACAGTGCCACCCCTCCGAGACTGTGCTGCTCCTTCCTGGCGCGATGAGCAGGGTGGCAGGGTCTCTGTTTGAAGTTTTGCCTGTTCTTTGTCTCATGCCCTTGATCTGTGTATTTCTGTTGCTCTAAGCGGAGAATCTGGTGCTGGTAAGACTGTAAACACCAAGCGGGTCATTCAGTACTTTGCCATTGTCGCAGCCTTGGGCGACACACCGGGCAAGAAATTAGTAAGACCCTCTTTTGAAACAAGCTCGTGCTGTTGTCTTCCTTTCTTTGGTGTTTTTTTTTCTTTCCCTTCCCTCCCCCTTTTCTTCTTTTTACTTCTTTTGTTTTTTTCTTCCCCCATCTTTTTGCATTTGGAAGCTTGTTTTGGTCTGACCCACCCAGGGCTTGGCTTTTCCTTGCCTTTTGAACAAGCAAGGCTTGAAATTACTTTGCTCAAGGGGAAATGGACTTTTTTCATGTGGCTGCTCAATCTGCGCAGCCTGGAAGAGGTGCCTTATGTACCCTCTTTATCTTCTCTTCCTCCTTCAACACCCCACAGAGCTTCTTCTTAAGGAGTATTAAAAGAACGCAGTAAACCTGCCATTTCCCACCTTGCCTCTTTTAAGCCTTGCTTTTCATCCTTTTCTCCTCTTTTTTCCCCCCTTGTTCATTTTGATCCTTTTCTACCTTGTGCTTTTCTTGCTCTTGTTTTGATTCTTGCATTTCTTTGGTGCTGGTGATTTTTGAGCTGCCTTTGCAAGTGCTTATTTCTTCTTGATACGTTGAGGCTCCAGCCTGCTTTTCCCCTGTAGAAGCAAACTAGCTGCTTTAGGTATCAGTCAAGCAATACCTTGGCATTATTTTCTTTACTCTTCTTTGGGTTTGGATTTAACCGTTCTTGCTTTTTGATGCATTTCTTTATTTTCTTGAGCTAATCTATTTAACAACTTTTTGGCATCTCTTGCAGAGTTTAATCCTCCCATTTTTCTTCTTGGACGGTTTATTGGCACTAAATGGTCATGCCCTGCTTTTCTGACCATGCTTCTTGTGGTTCTTGCCTGCCTTTTCTGGATTGCTAAAGACCATTTTCTTTCTTTTCTCTAGGCAGCTCTTGCCACTAAAACTGGGGTAAGTGTTGTAGACTCCTAATCTTTAATGCTGAGCACAGTTCTGGTGCACCACAGAGCGATGGGGTGATGAGGAATGCCTGTGTGGGGCCTCTGCCTTGGGTCTGGGAGCAGGCGCAGTGTTTAGTTCTCCACTTTGCTTTGTACCTCCCACCTTCCCGTAGTTTGGAGCTTTGGTGTTTCATCTCTTAGCAACTTTCTACCTTTTTGGCTCCAACCTTTCCTTCAAGGGATCATTGCTCTTCAAACACTGGTTTTAGCCAGCACCTTGTGTTGCCTGGGGGAGGGTGTGGGGGGGTGTGGGCTCCTCCAAAGAGAAGACAAAGCCCCCAAAATCCGAGCTGTCAGTGTTCCCCCAAGCCTCGAAGCCCAGCTGAGGGTGGTCGTGCTGAGGAGCAGGGGAAGAGCCTCTTTGCCATGGGCAGCTTCGTGCTTTGGCTTCAGACCTGGGTACTCCTAATGCCTAGACTTGCCACCCTCTGCAAAGACCCGAACAGGCTCAGCCCTCCATGGTGCAGGCAGCTCATGTCCTAGGGGTGCGTTTCTGAGGTGCTTGCTTGGCTCCAAGGAAACAACTGGGATCCTTTGGAAATCCAGCACGGGTTCAGTCCCTGGCACTGCCAGCACCCCCAGGGCTCAGCCCTGTGCCCTTGGTCCTCAGTTTCTCTGAGCACTGAGGGACAGCCTTTAGCTGGTGCACACTAAAGGGAGGCTCATTAACACATGCGATTGCTGGAGGGCTGGAGCTGTGGGTCCAGGGCAGCCCATGGGGCAGCCCTCATTGAGTGTCACAGGCCAGACAGCTTAGATCAGGCTGGATTTAAGGATAACAGATCAGAGGCTATCCCAGAGACAAAGTGCAGTTGGTTAAAGCTGTGATTCACAGCTGCTCCCCATCTCTTTACCTTCCACCCAGCTGGAGCTGCTGAGCTGGGGAGTGGTGGTGGGCACAGTACAGCTCTTGGTGGGCAGAGCTCAGAGCTTTCCTGTGCAGGGAAAGTCCTATGGGCTGGAATGGGTCAGAGCATGGGCATAAAGCTCTCACGAAAATCCTGCAGGAGCCTGTGCCACCAAACTCTACTACTGTTGTCAGCCTCCACTGTGCTTTGTGTGGCTTGGCATGAGTTTCTTGCTTCTCTCCTTGAATTCTTGTCCTGCTTTGCCTGCATTAGGTGGAGGTTGTCTCTTTATCTTTGAACTGTGTGTGTGAAACATGAATGGAAGAACGAGGTTAATTGTGGGGCTTGCTCCGGTGAGCTCAGCAGATCACATTGCCTGGGACTGGTGGTGTGTTCCCACCACCCTGTGACCCTGCTGTGCATGTTGTTAGTGTAGGGAGTCATGGATCAAGCCTGCTTTCTGGGTCATTTCTGCAATGTTCTGTGATTAAAAGTGTCCCAGACTATGTTTGGTGGAAGAGGAAATTCCTGTCAGAGTCAGAGCCTGGAATGTTTCAGACTGCTGTGGTGACAGCGTGTGCTTGCTCTTGATTTCATACTGTAGCAGCCTGAGAAAGAGGCTAAGGGCTGCTGTGTGCAGAGGGGAGAGTAGCCTGGGTCTTCAGAGTTTAGGCAAGGAGAAGCCCCCAGAGGGCATTGCTGCAAAGCCTAATGCCTCTGACCCTCAAACCAAGCTGCATTGCTTTGTGAGACAAGGAGATGCCTGAGGAGCAGCAGGCTCTTCTGAATGGCAGAGCAGGCAGATGGTGCAAGGAGCCCCACTCACTGTTTCCCTGTGTTGTTGGTAACAGATCCCCTCTGGCTGGGTGGGAACTGACGCATCCTTTGGGTTTTGCAGGGCACCCTCGAAGATCAAATCATTGAGGCTAACCCAGCCATGGAAGCTTTTGGCAATGCCAAAACCATAAGGAATGACAACTCCTCTCGTTTTGTAAGTGTCTTGAGCAAGACAGAGAGCTAAAGTGCTGTGTTTATGCAAGCTGAATGCACGCATCACTTGTGCCATTGTGTTCTGTCTGGTGTGAGCCAAAGGCATGTAGCAGGAAGGAGGCTCTGCTTCCTGGTGGGATTGGACTGCTGAGGCCAGGCTGCTTCTGGTTACATCAGTGCAGTAAATGGTGTGCAGAATGAATGCCTTGGTGTCACAGCCTGTGGCTGCAGAGACATCCCTTACAGGACCAAAGCTGAGGGGCAGTAAGCACAGCCTGGAGTGCTGTGTGCCCCTTCCAGGGAGCAGCATCTCTTTTGCTAAGCACAGCCTTGGTCTGCTGTGGGATACTGTGATGCCTGTTCCCGTGCCTTGGACGGGAGACACTCCAGGGTGAGATTCCTCAGCACACTGTGGAGCAGGAGGCTGGGGTGGACTCAGTATCACACTGCCCCACAGAACTGCTCAGCTTTAAGAGTAGGTCTGTACTTAAACCTGGAGAGGGGCTTTGGACAAGGGCCTGAAGGGACAGGACAAGGCGAGGGGAGACTGAGATGAGCTCTTAGGCAGAAGCTCTTCCCTGGGAGGGTGCTGAGGCGCTGGCACAGGGTGCTCAGGGAAGCTGTGGCTGCCCCATCCCTGGCAGTGTTCAAGGCCAGGTTGGACACAGGGGCTTGGAGCAAGCTGCACTAGTGGAAGGGGTTGGGGTTGGAACTGGATGAGCTTTAAGGTCCCTTCCAACCCAAACCAGCCTGGGATTCTGTGATGATTCTATGAGAAGGATTTATCTGCTGTGAGTGAAATCTCTGCCTGCCTGGTGTTCAAAGCCTGATGATACAAACCAGAGAACTTCACCCACCCACCCCTCACAGAACCCAGTAACTTTCCTGGCATCAGCAGAAGCCTAAGAAGTGGGAAATCACCAGTGCCTTGGAGTTGTCTGAGGTTTCTGGGAGCGGTTTAAGTGTGTAAGCCCAGCACTCACCTTCTGCACGTGTTTCCAGGGCAAGTTCATCCGGATCCATTTTGGCCCCTCAGGGAAGCTGGCCTCTGCAGACATTGACATCTGTGAGTAGAGCTGTGCCTGCTGCCGTGGGGAGGGATCGCACCTCCCCATGTGTGCTGATGCTGGGTCAGCTCTGGGAATGAACAACCTCTCCTCTCACCCCCCTGCCCTGCTCGGTTCCAGATCTCCTGGAAAAATCCAGAGTCATTTTCCAGCAGCCCAAAGAGCGGAGCTACCACATCTACTACCAGATCCTCTCTGGGAAGAAACCAGAGCTGCAAGGTAAGGCAGCTGAGGCTTTTCTAGCATGATGGCCTGAAAATGGCCAGAAAGGGCTCTGTGTTAGCTTTGAGGTCTGCAGGGAATGAGCAAACCCAGCTCACGTGCAAATACTGCCCTCAGATGCTTTGTTAGCTGCGCAGGATCGTAGGATTGGTGAATAATTTAGGGTGGAAGGGATTTCACCTACTCCAGCCTCCTGTATCCTCCCAGACAGAGAAGCCAGATCAAAGCCCTTTCTGCAACTGCCTAGGAGCAGAGGTTGTTCTGGGTCTACCTGCAGGGTGGGAGCACGCTTTGCAAAGCTGCCTTGCATAGAGTCCTTATCGTATGGTGGGTACAGCACTGACCTCAGCATGTGCAGGGTGGATTCTTATTCATTTTGGGGTAGGGGGAAGTGTTTTGCAGCCTGCTCTGAGCTCCTTCAGCCACCTGAATGAGGTGATGTGTTGCAGGTGGGCTCGGAAACAGCTACACAGTTCACTCGCTGGTGGAGACACATCCTAGGATAGTCCCAGCAGACCCGAGCTTGCCCTGGGGCAGCCCTGCTCTTAGGTCCCAGGCTCCATGGGGTGCACAGAACCCTCTCCACAGTGCAGGAAGATGCTGGCACAGTCCCCCGGGGTGGTCAGCCCCTTGCCTGCAGGCTCATTGAGCTCAAGGACAAGACCTTATTAGGCAGGTCTGGAGCACTGTGCAGAGCAGTAATCTTATCTGGTGGTCACGAGGACATGGATGGCCACTTCTAAATCAGTCTGCAGCCAAGCCATGTCCCAAGATAGCAAGCAGGACGCACATCACAGAGGAGATGGACCCATGTGTGGACCTGCCTGGGCTTGAAGAGGGTGCTCCTCCCACCGGCTGGTGCCCCCTAGTAGCTGAGGCTGGTGAAGCCTTACCTCTTCATCTGTGCCCCTCGGCTCCAGCTTGGTCTCTGCCAGACTGACCTCACCCTCTGCATGTGTTCCCCCCACAGATATGCTGCTGCTCTCCCTCAACCCCTATGACTACCACTTCTGCTCTCAGGGTGTAACTACTGTGGACAACATGGATGATGGCGAGGAGCTCATGGCAACAGATGTATGTGAATTTCCTTCCCATAGCACAGCGTGAAGTGGGCCTGGTGGAGAGCACAACCTCCATCTCCCATGGGGAGACATGAGGCCATGTCCTGGCTTTTCTTTGTCCCTCTCTAAATCAGCTGTGTGTTCCCTCTGGTTTATTGGCACGTGCTTTGAGCTTACAAAGAAAGAGCAAAGTGACTCTGATCTCCATCAACAGCCCCATGCAGGCAGAGAAGGCAGAGTAATTCCCTGCATTAGGAAGGCTCTGTAGCACATGAGCACTTCCCATGCTCCCAGGAGAAGATGAGAGAGCTCAGCCTGGAAAGCCTCCTGCTTGTGGATGCTAGGCTAGTCCTTCTGCTTTCAGATGAATCTGGTGGGAGCTGGCCTCACATTCAAAATCCCGTGGACAGGATTCCTCAGCTAGGTGTGCACTGGACAGAGCACCCTGCCCAGAGCCCCAGGATAGGGAGAGCATGTTAGGAGACCTCACCCCAGAGTGGTGATGTTGTTCTATCTACACTGCTTTGTCTCTCCTCAGCATGCCATGGATATCTTGGGCTTCAGCAACGATGAGAAATACGGCTCCTATAAAATAGTGGGTGCTATCATGCACTTTGGCAACATGAAGTTCAAGCAGAAGCAGCGAGAAGAGCAGGCAGAGGCTGACGGCACTGAAAGTGAGTTTGGCTCCACGCTGCCAGCTCTGCCCAGCCTGGCCTGGGCATGCAGACCCCTCCAAGGGCAGAGTGTGGTAACTTCCCTGGCCTGGTCAGTGGCTGTCACCCCAAGCAACCACACGGTCTGTAGGTGCACAAAGGGGTTTGGCTTTGAGCCGCCACACTTAGGGCAGCCTTTTCTGCAAGCAGTAGGTGGTCTCATTTGCATCAGACTTGCCTCAGTAGCATCATAGGCTCTCACCCCTTGCCTGTGCTTCACCTTGTTCAGTCTTCTGCTGCCCTTCATCTCCTCTTCTCTGGCACTAACAGCCTCCCAGAGCAGTCATCCACAGAGCATGAGCCAGGCCATGGTCAGGACTGCAGGGACCTGCTCAAGACACAGCCTCCTGCAGAGTGGTTAGAGTAGGACACAGCCACTGTCTGATACTTCTCCTTGTTTGTTGCCTATGAAAATCCAATACAAATCAAGAGAATGGTCAGGCTTCAAAGCAAACCTGGAAAGAGCTCAGGTATTTTGTATGGCTTTTGCACTGCTGTCTTATGCCTGGCTCCCATATAACGGAGCAAGCTTCAAGGCAGGATGGGAAAGGGGAGCCCTATCACTTAACTGGAGGGCTGCAGCTGAGTGACTGCCTGGATCAGACCTTCCTGCTAACATTCATGAAGGAATTCCTCTTGCCTGAGGGATGTCAGCACAGGATTTAGCTGCTACCTGGCCATTAGTGACGATTTTGCTTTAGCAGTGATTTCCCTACAGAGGTGATTTTCCAGCTGCAGTCTGCTGCTGGAAGTCCATGAAAGATAAGCAAGAAATTGACCTCTCGTCTGGTCACTTCAAATTCACTGTGTGGGAATCCAGGCTCCCACTGAAAAGTGCATAGAGATTCCCAGATAAGGCTTGAAAACCTGGTAATGTGCAGCAGGTCTGCTACAGCCATCTCCTCCAAACAGTAACTTCAGGCAGGAGGTCAGACTTTAAAAGCATCATGCAATACCCAGGATGGGAAATCACACCAGACTCTGGAGAAGGTGGGGAAAACGTGTTTAGTGAGCACTGAACAGCAGGAGACATGGGAAGTTTTAGTTACTGCCTTTTTTCCTTCCTTACTGCCTCCTCATGCCTTTGTGCTGCTTTATAGGTGCTGACAAAGCTGCTTACCTGATGGGAATCAGCTCAGCTGACCTCATCAAGGGCTTGCTCCATCCTCGTGTGAAAGTGGGCAATGAGTACGTGACCAAAGGTCAGAACGTGGAGCAGGTGAGTTTGCCTCAGTAACCCTGAGCTCCCTGCGTCTGTCCTTCGTGTGCCAAGGGGAGCTCTCCAGCCTCTAGCTCCTGCAAAGGCAGGGAGAAGGATCAGTGCTCATGGCCTGCTCCGTGATGTGCTTTGGCAGGTTGTCTATGCGGTGGGAGCCCTGGCTAAAGCCACCTATGACCGCATGTTCAAGTGGCTGGTGACTCGGATCAATAAGACCCTGGACACCAAGCTGGCCAGGCAGTTCTTCATTGGAGTACTGGACATTGCAGGCTTCGAGATCTTTGACGTGAGTTCTGCGGGCCCCCCGCAATGGGGCTGGGGGATTGTTGTAGCCAGGCAGCGCAGTCCCCTGGTGTTTGACAGCTCCTTCTCCTCCAAGAAACTGCCTTGATAGGGAAATGAGCTCTTGCCTGGATTAGTCTGTCTGGAGCTAACAGGCAGCTCACACTGCTGTGGGCACACCTCCAGTGATCCCTGGCTACCTGCTCTGGTAGCGGTCCAGCTGAGCCTAGCAGAGATCACTCCTCACACCCAGACAAAACAGAAGAGCGAAGCCCTTCATGTCTGGGCTCCTTCTAATGCAAAATTGTTTTCTTCTGGCAGTTCAACAGCTTTGAGCAGCTCTGCATCAACTTCACCAATGAGAAGCTGCAGCAGTTCTTCAACCACCACATGTTTGTCCTGGAGCAAGAAGAATATAAGAAGGAAGGCATCGAATGGGTCTTCATTGACTTTGGCCTGGACCTGCAGGCTTGCATTGACCTGATTGAGAAGGTAAAGCATGAGTCAGGGCATGGGAATGGTACTTCTGGTAGGTGGCTTGTTTGCAAAGACTGGAGATGCTCTAGTACCAGAGATGGAATGATCCCCCCCCAGTGAGCGGGAAGCGCCCAGCTTTGTTTTCCCCACACTTAGCCCAGAGCCTGCAGCCCAATGAGTCCCTTTGGCACAAATCTTGACTTTCTGAAACCACAGGCATTCTGTTCCTGCCCACTGGTGAGCCACAAAACCTGGTGCAGCCTTTCCCTCCAGAGAGCATCGATCTCTGCCTCCTTTTCCTACCCACTTGCTGCCCCTCAAAGCCTCTTACTAAGTACTTGCTGATTCAGAGCAGCTGGTACAAAAGGTTTCCACCACTGCAGGGTGGAAACTCACCTCTTTCAGTGGGAAGGAGCTCACCTATCAGGATACTGGAGAGGATCTCCCCTTCCCACAGCCTGATGGACCTGGACAAGCCCCCAAGTCTTGCAGGCTTGGCTGGTCCCACTCTGACTGGCTGGAGGTCAGATGCAGCCTGGAATACACCAGTGATAGCTTGTCCCATAGTCAATGTCTTGCACCATTTGCCTCTAAGAGGATAAGGTCTCCCAGGTCAAGCTCTGCTCAGTGGCACAGGGAATCCCCCATTCTGGAATGGGCTATGGCAAGGCTGAGCTCAGACCTCTTTATACCACCTTCCCCCTGCAGCCATTGGGAATCCTGTCCATCCTTGAAGAGGAGTGCATGTTCCCAAAAGCCTCCGACATGTCCTTCAAAGCTAAGCTCTATGACAACCACCTTGGGAAGTCGCCCAACTTCCAGAAGCCCCGGCCGGATAAAAAGAGGAAGTATGAGGCGCACTTTGAGCTGGTGCACTACGCTGGTGTGGTACGTCCCGGGCACCCTCCACAGCACCCACACCACCCCCTTGGAGCACCGACCTTACCTTTGCCTCTTTTCTTTGCTCAAAGGTGCCGTACAACATCATTGGGTGGCTGGACAAGAACAAGGACCCCCTGAATGAGACAGTGGTGTCTGTCTTCCAAAAGTCCCAAAACAAACTCCTGGCTTCCCTCTATGAGAACTACGTGGGCTCATCTTCAGGTAAGGAGCAACCTCATCTGTTTCTTGACCTTGAGTTCCCCTCCCTCTGCAGCAAAGCCTCCTCACCCTCACACCCTGTTGGTGTAGTATTCCTGCACCTAGCAGCCCGGGCAAGGGGAAGAGCCACACTGACCCCTAAAAACCTCCCTGACCTGGATAGGTGGGTGCTCTGGCCATGCAGTGCTGGCCTAGGGGCTTTAGAGGGGAGTTAGGACCAGGCTGAGCTTGTGTGGTGCTTAAATAACTGTCCTGGTGGCCCTGTGTGACCTGAGATGTGTGAAGGGGTCTGTTGTTATCGAGGTCCGAGGAGCAGCACCCAGAGTTGGGTACTGTGGGAGATGTTTCTGCTGTATGGCTTTGCTCTGCAGCAGGGCACTACTAGAGAGAGCAGGGGCTGTGAGTGTTTCGAGGGTGTTTGGGGGTGCTCCTGCATCCTCCAAGCCAAGCAGATGTTATGCTGATGTAATGAATCAATATTTCAACCCAACAGAGGAACCTCACAAGCCAGGGACCAAGGAGAAACGTAAAAAGGCAGCTTCTTTCCAAACAGTGTCTCAGCTGCACAAGGTAGGAGCCAGCCCCTCATCCGAGGCCATAGGGAAGCATGCTCAATGTCCCACTGTCATCCCACTCCACTCCCCTGCCAAGACTCTGGGGTATCTTGTACCTAAAGGAGCCAGAGCTCCTGACACCCTCTTGTCCGTGCGCAAGGGGCCCGTGCCTGGCAGAGCCCCAGCCCTGTCCCCATGCCCTAGGGAAGGGCGCGGGGCTCCAGGCTGGGAGAGCGATGGTTCCCTTTGGCTTGTGCTGCTTCCGCCCGGCTGACGCTTGCGCTGCTCACAGCTCCTTCGCCTTTGAGAGAGCGGCAGTTAAGACTTGTAGTGATGTTTAGGTGATGTACTACATGAACATCACTTTAAGTCTGTGCTACTTCTCTCCTCATTCTGGTCAGCAGGAAGGACAGCCTTTGGGCAGAAGAAAATGGAGGAGGAACTTGCAGGTCTCTGAGCAGGCAGCTCGCCGCTGTCCTGTGCGGGGAGGTGACCTGAGCTCCTTCACAGCTCAGGGTGACACCCCATGCTCACCACACAAGTTATTTATCTGCCCCAGAGCTTAAGCCACTGGAAAACAGCACGGGGGGGGGGTGTGAGCCCAAAGCTGTGTCCTGCCGTGACAGCCCTGTGGTGACGGTGACGGGGTGCTCGCAGAGGGCAGTGCTGGTGTCAGAGCTCCCGCAGGGACATGAGTGACTTTCTTCCTCCTGGACAAGTCACAGGCCTTGGGGAGAGGTGTTTGTAGCAAGAGCTTGCCCTGTGGTGAGGTGGAGCTGCGGGAAGGTGTTTCCAGGCAGGCTGAGCCTGTACGAGCAGGGGAAGGCAGCCTGCAAAGATCGAGGGTGCAGATGCCTTTCCCATAGGAAATGTCTTGGCTTGAGCCCTGCCTTGGACAGGAAAGGAGGCCCAGGCTGGATTGGCAGGGCTCTCTGTCATGGCCAAAGGGTATGGGAAGCACTGTGGAAGTGCAGGGGAAACCTGATGAGCTGAGGACTGCAGGCAGTGTGGATGCCAGCACTAGATCAGGAGGATGCTGAGCACAGAGTTGGTGGCACCAGCAGAGCTGTTTACGAGGATAAGCTCAGTGCTGTGCTCCTGGCTGTCCCCTGCAGCAAACCTTTACCTGCAAACACTTGAGAAGCACCCAGTCCCCTCTGCCATTGCTCCCACCATCCAGAAGGCAGTGGTCCTGCTTACAGGGCTGGGGGGTCCAGTTGACAGGATAGCACAGGGATTAGGAAGAATTCCCTCTTTCCCACGAAGAGTGGTAGAGGGCTCTCAGCGTCTGCTCTGTCCCTGCCTGTGGGGGGAAGAAAGGGGCTGCAGAAATGTGTTGTAGGGGAGCAGAGGTGTCACCCTGTGCCTCATCCCCGTCTCTGTCCCACAGGAGAACCTCAACAAGCTGATGACCAACCTGCGCTCTACGCAGCCCCACTTTGTCCGCTGCATCATCCCCAATGAGACAAAGACCCCAGGTATGTGTGGACTGAGACAGCACCCAGGGCGTTCCCTTGGGTGACATCCACATGTGGGAGCTGGCAGGACTCTGGCACGCACCTTCTTTCCAACCCTTGTCTTGCAGCAGTTCTGCTGCCACTCACAGCAAGCCCCATCTCAGTGTGGAAACCCCTATGACCCACACCAGCCTCCTCCACTGGGGAGAATGAGTTCTGCCAGGCTCCCCTTTTGGCTGTGCATTGATGGTTGGGCTGCCTTGTGTATGACAGCAGGCATGACGGAGTCTTTCAGGCTCACTGACTTCCATCACCTGAGGCCCAGGCTGCAGCACTCGCGCTCAGCATAGGCCTGCAGGATGGGTTAACACCCGCATTCAAAACCACGGGCACTCTCATTTCCAGGGTTCAGACCCATGCTGCAGCTCCATTTCCTCTGTCTTCTTGGGCTGAGTGTCTGCTCCACCTCTGTTCTCATCCACAGGAGCCATGGATGCCTTCCTGGTGCTGCACCAGCTGCGCTGTAACGGTGTCCTTGAAGGCATCCGCATCTGCCGTAAAGGCTTCCCCAACAGGATCCTCTACGCAGACTTCAAGCAGCGGTAACTCTTTCCTCTTCCTTGCCTAGCAGCCCACACGTGTTCTAGGGGAGACAGACTTGCCCTGGCTCTGACCTGCTCCCCTGCTTGTGTGGGGCTGGTCTGAGCCACAACCATGCTCCCGATGCGTGTGGGATAGCACTGCTGCTGCTCTGTGCTGCCCTGTGCTGCCAGACATGGAGAGTTTTGTGCCAGACGTGATGAGACTGGTGATGTTTGGCATGCAGGGCTGGTACAGGGAGATGGTGGCAAGGCTCAGCTCCATTCCTCTCTGCCCTTGGGATCCTTACTGCTCTGTAGTTGGCCCCATCCAACCAGTGGCCTCTTCCTGCACAGTCTTCCTTGTGTTCAGGGACTAAGATCTGGCAGGGTTCCCTGGTGTCTGCTCTGCAGAAGAGCTCATTCAGCACCCTGGAGCAACTGGTTCATACATGGGTCCAGCCTGTGCAGCAGCATTGTCTAGAAGTACTAGAGGGAATTGGCATGACTGGGGTACAGGGATGACGATAGAACCACGGACTCTGTTCTGGAGTTCTTCTGCATGTCCTCCTCTGCTTTGTCCCTGCAGCTACCGTATCCTGAATCCAACAGCCATTCCAGATGACAAGTTCGTGGACAGCAGAAAGGCCACAGAGAAGCTGCTGAGCTCCCTGGAACTGGACCACTCGCAGTACAAGTTCGGTCATACCAAGGTGAGAGCGGGCAGCTGGTCCAGGGACACTGTTCCTCCTGTCCCTGCAGTCCCAGTGTGCTCCCCGTGCCCAGCTTGCTCTCTGCCTGGCCACAGCCCTGCTGGAGCCCTGCGCTCTGCAGGTTGTGTGTGGCCCTTGAAGGAGCTGAGAAGGGCCTTGTAATCCTAGAACCACAGAATGGTTTGGGTTGGAAAGCACTTCAAGATCACCCATTTCCAGCCCCCTGCCACGGGCAGGGACGCCTCACCCTAGACCATGACGCCCAAGGCTCTGTCCAACCTGGCCTTGAGCACTGCCAGGGATGGAGCATTTACCACTTCTCTGGGTACCCTGTTCCAGTGCCTCAGCACCCTCTCATCAAAGAACTTCTGCCTAATATCTAACCTGAACTTCCCCTGTTTGTTTGAACCCATCACCCCTTGTCCTATCACTACAGTCCCTAATGAAGATGCAGGCTGAGAAGAAACAGGTCTGAGCAGAACATCTCTGCTGCCTGAGCTCATACCACCCAACGCAGCAGCTTGTGTCCACTCAGGGCAGGGAGCTCTGATGTCCCCTTGTGCCTTGTGTAGGTGCCCCTCCAACCAGTGCAGTGCAGAGTGGACGCTGAACCTGCAGTGTGCAGCCCTCGTTGCTCTGTGTGCCCCTGCCTTGGCCACAAGTCAGCTCTGCCTCATGGGTGATGTTCCCCCTGAGCCCGCTGCCCTCTCTGCTCTGACTCTGCTCTCCCTCTGATCCTGCAGGTGTTTTTCAAGGCTGGTTTGCTGGGCTTGCTGGAGGAGATGCGGGATGAGCGTCTGGCCAAGATCCTGACCATGCTGCAGGCCAGAATCCGCGGGCACCTCATGCGAATCGAGTATCAGAAGATCATCAGCAGGAGGTAGAGCTGGGGGTCGGGGAGAGGCAAAACGTTGTGTGTCTCCCTGTTCCTTTGCACATTTGAGTGGGTTTGGGGCAGTGGTTGGGTAAAGCCCTGTCATGAAGGGCTGGAGGCAGACCTGTGAGAGGTCAGGCATGGGCTTGGTAGAGAGGCTCAGTGTATCTGGGTAGGGAAAGCCTTTGGTTTCCACTGGAAGATTCAGAGGGATGCAGAGTGAAGAGACCTGAAGCCAGCCCACACCACTCATCCCAGTAGGGCCATTATGTGTGCAGACAATGTGCCATTCATTCAGCACACTTCCATACTGGTGGAGAATAGAGCCTTGTCCAGGCCTGCAAAAGCCTCTATTACAGTGGGGGTGGGATGTGGGAAATCTACACCCATGATGATGCTCTGCTTGTGTCTATCCAGGGAAGCCCTCTATACCATCCAGTGGAACATCCGGGCCTTCAATGCTGTCAAGAACTGGTCCTGGATGAAGCTGTTCTTCAAGATCAAGCCTTTGCTCAAGTCTGCTCAGACTGAGAAGGAAATGTCCAACCTGAAGGAGGAGTTCCAGAAGCTGAAGGAGGCTCTGGAGAAGTCCGAGGCTAAGAGGAAGGAACTGGAAGAGAAACAGGTCTCCATGATCCAGGAGAAGAACGACCTGACTCTCCAGCTGCAGGCAGTGAGTGGCTCACCCCCTCTATGGAAGTCTAAAGATAATGCAGTGTCCATGGGCAGGAGAAGCAGCAGATCATGCTAGATCCCTCCTCCAGCCTCTTGCAGTTCGAGACCCCCTTGTTGCCACAGTCTGTTTGAAATGCAATGTTAGACTTGGTGCAAACCTGAAGCATCATCACAGACTTGCCATCTTCGAGCTGCCACAGGGATTTGTGCTCCTCTGGCTTGGGAAGGGTGATCTCACCAGGAGCATGGGGAGATGACAGTGTTTGCTGATTGGCTGTGGTTGATCTGTGCTCTTCCTGTTCCAGGAAGTGTCTTTCCAGTGTTTCCATCCCCTGGAAAGATTCAGTTGCTGTTAGCTCTTTGGCCCTGCTTAGTGTCAGTGGTTGTCCCATGGGCCTTGCAAACACAGCTGTCTGGTTTTGTCCACCTGAGCAACTCAGGCGTGCTCTACCCCTTCCACAAGGAGAGCTTCAGCTGTGGCCAGGGTAGCATGGCTGAGAGCCTGCTCTGGGGCAGTGGGTGAGCACTGCCTCTCCTGTGCTTGTCCCAGGAGCAAGACAACCTGGCAGATGCAGAGGAGCGCTGTGACCTGCTGATCAAGTCCAAGATCCAGCTGGAGGCCAAGGTGAAGGAGCTGACAGAGCGCCTAGAGGATGAGGAGGAGATGAACTCAGACCTCACCGCCAAGAAGCGCAAGCTGGAGGATGAGTGCGCAGAGCTAAAGAAGGACATTGACGACCTGGAGATCACGCTGGCCAAGGTGGAGAAGGAGAAGCATGCCACAGAGAACAAGGTAAGCGACCCTGCCTGAGAGCACAGCCTCATTGCCCTGGGGGGTCTCAAAGCTTGTGGAGGCACCAAAGAGAAGCACCAGGGACAAGGTTGCTGGCTTGTGGGAGCCTTTCATGGGTATTAGCAAAGCATCCCTCTCCCTGAGAAGATGAGCTCAGTTGTTGACTCCCTGTTCTAGGTGAAAAACCTGATTGAAGAGATGGCTGCTCTGGATGAGATCATTGCCAAACTGACGAAGGAGAAGAAGGCACTGCAAGAGGCCCATCAGCAGGCCCTGGATGACCTGCAGGCTGAGGAAGACAAAGTCAACACACTGACAAAAGCCAAGGTCAAGCTGGAGCAGCAAGTGGATGATGTGAGTCATAGACAGTGAAGTGAGAGAGGTTTGAGTCACACCTCCAGGTTGTCCCTGATGGGATCTGGAGGGTGGGATCATTATCAGATCCCCGTTTAATATGGCTAGTTGATGAATAACCCCATTGTCAAACTGCCCCTGGACCAAGAGGTGATCCAGAGTACCTCATTGAGAGCAGTTCTGGGCTGAGAGAATGGGACTGGACACCAAGCAGGAAACAGCTCTGGCTCTCAGGGCTGGATGAAGTTCCCATAGCAATGGACATGGGGAAGGTTGGGGCTGCCAAGGATCCTTTCCCTCCCTACCCTGTTGCCCTTCATTCTCCAGCTGGAAAGCTCTCTTGAACAAGAGAAGAAAGTCCGCATGGACCTGGAAAGAGCAAAGAGGAAACTTGAAGGAGACCTGAAGTTGACCCAAGAGTCTGTAATGGATCTGGAGAATGACAAACAGCAGCTGGAGGAGAAACTCAAGAAGTGAGTGTGTGATCTGTGCCTGGGCTCTGTGCTGACTCTGCAAGGCCAGGGCCCACCTCTAGATCAAGTGGACGTGTGGCCTCTGCAGGAGCTGCTGGGATGGAGCTTTGGATGTGCCAGTTTGGCCACCCCAGTGCTCGCTTAGAGTAGTCCATGAGCTGCTTCTTATGCCTGTGGTCCCTTTCCTATGGGGATTTGTTTGTCCTCTAGAGCTGGGTGTTACACTGCAGGGAACAATCTTCCTTCGGCTTCAGGAGCCAGGTGTCCTTGGGAGGACAGTGTTTGTCTGACCACGGGCTTTGCCTTCTTTCTGTACAGGAAAGACTTTGAAATGAGTCAGCTGAATTCAAGGATTGAAGATGGGCAAGTGACTGAGGCCCAGCTGCAGAAGAAGATCAAGGAGCTCCAGGTATGGTGGGCAGAACTGTTCTCACAGCCTAGGAGTCCTCAATTTCCATCACGTGTAATGTGATGGGGAATCTGTATGGCCCAGACCCTCTCTGAACACATCTCCTAGGCAGAAGAGTGATGAAAAAAAGCAAAGCCTCAGCTAAAACATGGTAGGCTGAAAAGAAGTTCATGAAAGAATGAACTATTGGGGTGAATGCTAGCACCAGCACAAGGAACAGCTTCTAGGGTGTAGTTCTCTGTGCAGATTAAAACCTTAAATCCAGTTCCCAAACTCTGAAGAGCCGAACTTGTATGCTTGGCTTCTTCCTATCAGACAGGCCTCACATTAAAGCATGGAGGTTCCCACTGAAAAGAAGCAAGTATCATCCTGGATCCTGATGTCAGTGTATAGAGGAGACCAGGAGCTCTGCAAAACACACAGCCAGGGTGCATCCAGGCATGCATGCTTCAGAGAACCCCAACCCAGCCCAGGCCTTTGCTCCAGACTGGTGGCTGCTTGTTCCCCAGCAGCAGAGGTGACACCTTACTCCAGTGTGGAGGGCAAAGATGCTGGTGAAACCTTGTGCTTGGAGCATCTGCCTTATTACCCCTTGTCCTATCAGGACAGTCCCAGATGAAGAATACCTCTCCAGCATCCATGTAGGCCCCCTTAGGGGATGTCTGCCCATGGCAGGGGTTGGAACTGGGTGCTCCCAAGGTGCTTCCCAGCCCACACCATTCCATGGCTGTGTCTCTGCCAGGCCCGCATTGAGGAGCTGGAGGAGGAGCTGGAGGCCGAGCGCGCTGCCAGAGCCAAGGTGGAGAAGCAGCGGGCGGAAGTGTCCCGGGAGCTGGAGGAGCTGAGCGAGCGGCTGGAGGAGGCCGGCGGTGCCACGGCCACGCAGCTGGAGATGAACAAGAAGCGGGAAGCGGAGTTCCTGAAGCTGCGGCGGGACCTGGAGGAGGCGACGCTGCAGCACGAGTCCACGGCCGCTGCCCTGCGCAAAAAGCACGCGGACAGCGTGGCCGAGCTGGGCGAGCAGATCGACAACCTGCAGCGCGTCAAGCAGAAGCTGGAGAAGGAGAAGAGCGAGTTGAAGATGGAGGTGGATGACCTGTCATCCAACATCGAGTACCTCACCAAGAACAAGGTGGGTGCTGCTTCTCTGCAGGGCAGTGAACACCAGTGCAGCTGGTGTGTTCAGCACAGCCATGCCCGTGGGATGTTGTCCTGGGTAGCTCTTTGCCATGGCCAAGTCACAGACTCGGAATCCCAGACTGGTTTGTGTTGAAGGGACCTCAAAGCTCCACCAGCTCCAACCCCTGCCACGGGCAAGGACCCCTTCCACTAGAGCAGCTTGCTCCAAGCCCCTGTGTCCAACCTGGCCTTGAGCACTGCCAGGGATGGGGCAGCCACAGCTTCTCTGGGCACCCTGTGCCAGCGCCTCAGTACCCTCACAGGGAAGAGCTTCTGCCTAAGAGCTCATCTCAGTCTCCCCTCTGGAAGGTTAAAGCCTGTCCCTACAGGCCCTTGTCCAAAGCCCCTCTCCAGGTTTCCTGCAGCCCCTTTAGTCTGTTTTTCACTGGGTGTAGCTTGTCCCTGTATCCCTATGGCAACGTTTGCAAGTCCCTTTGGGAAGGATGGTGCTCTGTGGCCAGGGCTGGGTCTCACGCAGGCTCTGCTTGGGGCACGCAGGCCAATGCTGAGAAGCTGTGTCGCACCTACGAGGACCAGCTCAACGAGGCCAAGTCCAAAGTGGACGAGCTGCAGCGGCAGCTCAACGACGTGAGCGCACAGCGGGGCAGGCTGCAGACCGAGAACGGTGAGTGACAGGGGACACGTGGCCGCCCTGGGGCACTGGGACACGTGGGGTGTGCCAGGCAGAGTGTCCCCCTTCTCCCATGGACAAAAGGAAAATGGCAGGAGCTCCATCTGGAGCGCAGGGGGGTGGGATGTCTGTGTTGTGCCTCCAGTCAGGCCTTGGAAAACTGCTGTATAACTTGACTAGAGGCCAAGGAAAAGGACCTCTGTGGTGATGGTGGTTGTGCTGGGGGATGCTCTATGAGCTCCAGCATCAACAGGAGGGATTTCCTTCCACTTTGCCTTTAGCTGCTTGTATCTCTGCCCATGGGCCCCAGCTTGGGTGGGTGGGGATGCTGCTGGAGGTCTCCGTGCAGCTGAAGGCCACAGGGTCTGCAGGAGTGTGAGCTAACGCAGGGTGCAGCCCTTCAGCCCCAAAGTAGCTGTTTGGGCTGTGTTTGACCCCAGGGGAGCTCAGTCGGCTGCTGGAGGAGAAGGAGTCCTTCATCAACCAGCTGAGCCGTGGCAAGACCTCATTCACACAGAACATTGAGGAACTCAAGAGGCAGCTGGATGAGGAGACCAAGGTGAGGCTTCTACGGCCGCTGTCTGCATGGCACAGATCTCAGGGAATGGGCCATGTGTCCCACGTGCCCCATGGAGCAGGGAAGTGGGTCATTCCCTGCACACAGGAGCCCCAAAGGCAGCTTCTTAACCTGGGAAAACCAGGAGTCCTCTCCTGCTGCCCCCAGCCCCGGTGCCATGGCTGGTGTCCTGGGGCCAGCGGCTCCTCTCATCAGCTCTTCCCTTCCTCAGAGCAAGAACGCCCTGGCCCATGCCCTGCAAGCCTCCCGGCATGACTGCGACCTCCTGCGGGAGCAGTACGAGGAGGAGGTGGAGGCCAAGAGCGAGCTCCAGAGGAACTTGTCCAAGGCCAATGCAGAAGTGGCCCAGTGGAGAACCAAGTACGAGACGGATGCCATCCAACGCACGGAGGAGCTGGAGGAAGCCAAGTAAGTCTGATGGTGGAAGTGGGTTCCTTGCGGGTGGCAGGTTTCCGTTCGGTGGTGGGCTGAGGCTGTTTGGGCAGGCTGTGTGGGCAGTGGGGTGGGATAACATGGGCCAAGAGCACTCCCCCCTCGCTGCCACCGGCAGGAAGAAGCTGGCCACCCGGCTGCAGGAGGCTGAGGAGGCGGTGGAAGCCGCACATGCCAAGTGCTCCTCGCTGGAGAAGACCAAGCATCGGCTGCAGACAGAGATCGAGGACCTCTCGGTGGACCTGGAACGCGCCAACTCGGCCTGCGCTGCCCTGGACAAGAAGCAGCGCAACTTCGACAGGATCCTGGCCGAGTGGAAGCAGAAGTACGAGGAGACGCAGGCGGAGCTGGAGGCGTCGCAGAAGGAGTCGCGCAGCCTGAGCACGGAGCTCTTCAAGCTCAAGAATGCCTACGAGGAGTCCCTGGACAACCTGGAGACCCTCAAGAGGGAGAACAAGAACCTGCAGGGTAGGACTGGGCTCAAGCTCTCCCCTCGAGCTCCTTGCTCAGACTCCTGCTCTCGTGGGGTCCCCTGTCCCCAGCCATGTGGTGGGAGGGGTGCTCCCTGCAGGCAGGGCTCAGACCTTGCTGCTCAGCCGAGACAAGGAATGCAGCAGCCCAGCCAAGACGCCACCCTTGTTCTGTCCTCGTGCTGGGCACTATGGGCTGGCAGGCAGCGCCACTTGGCCCTTGTTAGCCAATGGTGCGTGGCAGGCAGAGCCATGACCCTGTTTTGGGGGTGTTGCAGTGGACAAGCAGGTCTCCATGCATCCATAGCGCCTCTCCCACGCCCTCTCCTCCACCCAGACTGCAGCAGTGGCCCCAAGCACAACTCAGCTGCTCTCTAAGGGCCGGGGGTCATCAGCCAGCCTGGGCAGGGGGATGGGGATGTCTCACTCTCATTCCTGACCAACCGCCCTTCCACCCCTGCCAGAGGAAATTGCTGACCTGACCGACCAGATCAGCATGAGCGGGAAAACCATCCATGAGCTGGAGAAGCTGAAGAAAGCCCTGGAGAGTGAGAAGAGCGATATCCAGGCAGCGCTGGAGGAGGCTGAGGTGGGTCCTTGTTTCCCACTGATGCTTGCATGTGCTCCTTGCCCTCGAGGGCAGCAGCTCGCACCAAGGGGACAGGGCTGAGCTGAGCTGCAGCCCCTGGGCTCATGGGGCTCGTGCAGCCACAGCAAGGCACTGGGGTGGCTCCCCCTGCTCCCCATAGCGCTGGGGTGGGGACAAGGCCAGGCTGGGGCAGGTGGCTGATGGAGCACCCCTAGGGGCCACCCTCTGATGGCTGCTGCTGTCTCTACAGGGGGCCCTGGAGCACGAGGAGAGCAAGACTCTGCGCATCCAGCTGGAGCTGAACCAGATCAAGGCTGACGTGGACAGGAAGCTGGCGGAGAAGGATGAGGAGTTTGAGAACCTGAGGTGTGTGCAGAGGGGCTGGGCTGGGCCATGGCTGGCTCCGTGGCCCTGGCTCTGTCAGGGATGGGGCTGACGCATCATCTCCCGCAGGCGCAACCACCAGCGCGCCATGGACTCCATGCAGGCCACGCTGGATGCAGAGGCACGGGCCAAGAACGAGGCGGTGCGGCTGAGGAAGAAGATGGAGGGAGACCTGAACGAGATGGAGATCCAGCTGAGCCACGCCAACCGCCAGGCCGCCGAGTTCCAGAAGCTGGTCCGGCAGCTCCAGGCCCAGATCAAGGTTGGGTGACGGCGGTGGGACCGGGTTGGGGCTGTCCCTGCTGCCAGCCCCGCGGCTGCTGACCCTGTGGTGCCCTGCAGGACCTGCAGATCGAGCTGGATGACACCCAGCGCCACAACGACGACCTCAAGGAGCAGGCGGCCGCCCTGGAGCGCCGCAACAACCTGCTGCTGGCCGAGGTGGAGGAGCTGCGGGCGGCGCTGGAGCAGGCAGAGCGGAGCAGGAAGCTGGCGGAGCAGGAGCTGCTGGAGGCCACTGAGAGGGTCAACCTGCTCCATTCCCAGGTGAGGGACCGCCGCGTCCTGCGTCTCTGCTGGCACTGGAGGGCCCGGAGCCCACACAGGAGCAGGGCCATGGTGAACTGACCCTGCTCTGCCTGCAGAACACGGGCCTGATCAACCAGAAGAAGAAGCTGGAAGCAGACATCTCACAGCTGAGCAGTGAGGTGGAGGATGCAGTGCAGGAGTGCCGCAACGCTGAGGACAAGGCAAAGAAGGCCATCACAGATGTAAGAGTGGTGGGGCTGGCGGGTGGGAAAAGAGGGGAAGTTCTCAAAACACCTTCATTGAGCCCCCAGGGCTGCCTGGGCTTGTGGTGATGCCTCTTGGCCTTGCAGGCTGCCATGATGGCAGAGGAGCTGAAGAAGGAGCAGGACACGAGCGCGCATCTGGAGCGCATGAAGAAGAACATGGAGCAGACCATCAAGGACCTGCAGATGCGCCTGGATGAAGCGGAGCAGATTGCTCTCAAGGGGGGCAAGAAGCAGATCCAGAAGCTGGAGGCCAGGGTGAGAAGGCAGGGGCAAGCCCCTCATGGTGCATCAGGCTCTGCAGGGCCCCAGCACTGCTTCATCCTTCTGGAGCCAGACTGTACACATGGAATCCATGGGCAGTGAGGGATGGTCCCTGAGGACCTGAAAGCCTTTCCTAGGGGTTGTTCAGTCTCAGCTGTGGCTTCCCTGAGCTGGGAAGGTGTCTTGGCCTCATCTGGGGCTGGTGCTGAGCTCGCCTCTATCCCCCTGCAGGTGCGGGAGCTGGAGGGAGAGCTGGATACGGAGCAGAAGAAGATGGCTGAGGCCCAGAAGGGCATCCGCAAGTACGAGCGGAGGATCAAGGAGCTGAGCTACCAGGTACAGCAGCACCGGTCCCAGCTCCAGCCTGCAGGACCCAGCTCAACACTCCCTGTGCTCAGCCTCTGCCGTTACCCCAGTCCCCACCTTGTCCTGGGCTCTGTGCAGGGAAAAGGGGCAGGACAGGCTGCGGCCACAGCAACCACCCCCTGCCCATGGGTCAGCACCTCCTGAGCTGGGTGCTGAAGCACAAAGGGGCCTGGGGACACACACACACACACATGACAAATGGGCAACAGATGGTGCTGTGTGTGTGTGTCTGAGGGGCCCTGGCACCACTGGGACTATTGGCTGAAGGTGTGGGGCAGCTGGACCCCGAGTTGGGGTTGGTTTTGGGTCCTGCTAACAGAGCTGGGGCACTTGCAGGCTGAGGAAGACCGGAAGAACCTGGCACGGATGCAGGACCTCATTGACAAGCTGCAGAGCAAGGTCAAGAGCTACAAGCGCCAGTTCGAGGAGGCGGTAAGTGCCTGTCCCCACCGCTGCTGCTGGCCTGGGGCAGACCACCCCAGGACGGCCGCAGGAGGGAGGGGCCATGGGGCTGATGCAGTGCCCATACCCCCCCTCCCCATGCAGGAGCAGCAGGCCAACTCCAACCTGGTGAAGTACCGTAAGGTGCAGCACGAGCTGGACGATGCCGAGGAGCGGGCGGACATCGCCGAGACGCAGGTCAACAAACTGCGCGCCCGCACCAGGGAGGTCATCGCCTCCAAGGTAAGGCCACCAGCACGGGGACAGGGCTGCAGCACCCGTGCAGCACAGCCCATGGCCCCGTCCTGCCCAGCACCGCATCTGGGCTCTCACCAAAGCTTTGCTGTGGTTCTTCCCCAGCACGAGTAGCAGGCACTGGTGCCTGCCCTGCGCCGCTGCCCGCTGTAGGTTGGAGCTGAACGGCTGCTGCCAGCTTTGCACTGTGTGAATAAACGTAGATGTGCCAGGACTTGCTCTCTTGTGTCTGTCACAGGGTAACCAGGGCCTTGGCCTCTGCTGCTGTGGAGGGCAAGCTGGGGGCTCTGGGGGTGTCCTGCACAGCCAGGCAGGGACAGGACTCTCCGCTCTATGTCCTAGCTTGCTTCAGGCTTGGGGTGGGGTTTGGGAGACAAGCCCTGTCCTCATCCCTCCCCACCAGCCAGCCCACTTCAGCCCTCTCAGCAGCAGGGACCAGAGCTGAGGCAGGGTGGGGTGGGTGAGGGTGTCAGGCAGAACACAGAATGAACGCTGCCAAGACCACCCCTAACCCATGGCACTGAGGGCCTCGGGTACACGGTGCGCGAGCGTTTCCAGAAGAGTCATTTCACCAGTGCCCGGGCAGCCTCACCGTTACTCCTGGGGAGAACATGAAAACCCCCAACTACAGTCCTGCAAAGGGCCTGAAAAGAAAGACATCTCCACTTGGTTCTTTAAAATAGATTTCTTTAATAGTTTCCATTTAATACGTTAGTCTGCAGTTAGCGAACTGGCATTAATCCAGGCAGCACAAACCTTAGCAATCCGTGGGGATAGTGCAGGCTTCCAGCAGTACTTGTTAGGGACAGAGGGTCCCACCTCCATCCCAGAGTCCAGGCGCTCTGCCTGGCACCATGCAGGACACCTCCTCCCCATGCTCTCCGTAAGACAGACAATAAAAGGATGAAGGAGAGAGCTCATCCCTCTCAAACTGAGATGTTGAGGCATCTGCAGGGACAGATGAGCTCACAGAGATGACACCCAGTTATTATGTGCCTGCGCCCCTCTGCACGCTCATGCCCCAACGCTCACGTTCCCTCCTTGGAGCAGCTGCTGTGGGTTCCTTTTTATTCCCTGCTGATGGCTCCTGCACCAGCCTAAAGGCCAAGGCAAAGCCAAGCTGCCTCTAGGATGTGCGCACCCCACAACCACTGGGGCCTTGGGTGATCAAAGGGAGTTCAGTTCACCCACACAGCCAGACAGCTAAGGCCAGACAGACTTTGGTCCCTCTGTTACATGAATCCAGATGTGAATGAGACTCTGGAGGCTTAGAGCAACAATCACTGGATGCACCAATAAAAGGCATCCCTTACATTAAAATCCTTTATAACTTGAAGCATTTATTTTACGCGTACATCATTACAGTTAAGAAGAAGCAAAGATACACCAAAGCCACAAGTACCCAAGAACAAAAAAAGTACAGAGGAGAAAGAAATGAGCTCAGGGGAGGGAAGGGGCAGGGAGGTGGGGACCTGATGCTGCAGCTCTGCAGTGAGGAACCAGGGTAGGGTCAGCCCAAGGCATTCAGCCTGCCAGGTGGGACACAAGGATCCTGGGAGCTCCTGCGTGAATCCAGGTTAATGCACGAGCTCAGAACCTCTGAGCCCCCTGCAAGCAAAGTACCAACTGCAAGTCCAGAGCAGGACACAGAGGAGAGGAGAGAGGGATGGGGAGAACAGGCCCTGCACGGGGGGAGTTGGAGCCTTGCTCCTCACCCAGGGCCCCAGCACAGGGACCCTCAGAGTGGGCTGCATTCTGCTGGCAATGATGAGACACAATGCTTCAACCCTGGGACATCTTTTCCTCAGTACCTCCCCGGAGCCAGGACAGAGCTGAAGCCAAGTCACCTCATCAAATCAGAAAGGTTAAGAAGTGTTTCAAAGAGGACAGGTTTCCTTTAGCTGGAGCTGCGAGACAGTTTTTGATTCAAATGCAGTGGCTCAGGACTTCAGGCTGTTATCTCATTCCTGGGAATCTGCCTTGGAGCAACACCATTACCTCTGGTGAGGAAGCAGGGCAGGTGCAGGTTTGGCAATCAGGACTGCCAAATGCCAATTCCCCCTTTTCCAACATATCCCACAATGTTCCTTTCAACCAGGAGTGTTTATTCCCAGCATTTAACACATTCTGATAAAACAGATCCAAGGAAAACAACTGACATCTCCAGTAAATATTGCACTTCAAGATTAGTGTGTGGGTTTTGCTTAAGGACTGAAATCAGAGACTGACATAAGACTTCAGGCATAGCAAGTCAGCAGCAAGAGCAATGGTCCTGAAGAGGATTTAAAAACCACATTAGTTCCCCAAGAAAGGACAAGCTGCAAGTTTACCAAAATTAGTACATTTTAATGCTCTGTGAAAGAGCCAACCCCTGCTGCAACTGTCCCAGTGCTGAGATGTCTCTGTTCTGCACAGCACTGTAACACCTTCAGGTGGGAAGGGGAAGACAGCAGGAGCAGGGGTTCTCTCCTAACGCATAGATTTAGTACCAAATGATCCAAAAGGAGATGATAGAGGTGACTGGAGCTGGGGCTCTCAGGAATTAAAAGCACACACACACACACACACACTCACACTCTAACCACCCCTGAAACCCTGGTTCCAAACCCCAACAGAAGACTTGCACCCAAGGGAGCCCTTGTGGTGGCTCCACACGTGGCTGGGTCCTGGTCACACTGGCTCCTTGGACCTCACATCTGGAGGACAATTCTGTGCTTTTTGACTTGCTTATTCTGGAAGAGCCACAACTCAACTGGCACATACAGAGCATCCTCTCACGGGGCTGTAAAGAACGATCTCTGACCAGCCACGCTGGGCTGGGAAGAGAGAAAAGAAAGAGTCTGGTTTTTGCAGGTAATGGTTTTTATCCCAGAACAGCTGGAAGATACATCCCTGAATGTGTTACCCAGAGAGCTCTCACAGTCTCATCTGTTAGAGATCAGAGATGGGGATGGGGGGGGCTGGGGTTGGGACAATGCTTCACGGTTCCAAGCCGTGCACACACACACACTCCACAGCATATCCCTGAAAATCCATGGGCTGTGAGGGACCCTCCAAGCACTGTCCATCAGAATCTGGAGTGAAGAGTTACTCCTCAGCAAAGTCTCTGTCAACGTCCATATACGCCTCGTCGATGTAGCTAACTATGGCACAGGGGGATGTCCGGTCTGGACTGAGCAGTATAGATACAGTCTCTTTCCAGTAGGCAAAACTAATACATGAGCTCTGTGGGAAGAGATGAAGAGGTTGGTTAGTGAGGTCCACAGGCACTGACATGCAGCAGAAGGCACATCCCAAAGGCATTCAGCAGAGAGAACTGAGAATTGCTTCTCATTCAGCCCAATTTGCCCAGCCCCTCCTTGCCAGGGCAGGGAGCAGAAGGGGTGGGAAGAAGCTCCTCTTCAGGTACCTCATCTATAGGAGACTGCCTGCCCATCACTCATGACAGCCATATGGCTGTGTTCTGCAGTTAGATACGCACCAAAGAAGGGCTTTCTTAAACACATTAAAATCTGTTAAAGCTGCCACTCAATCACTGAAAAGTCAAGGAAGGAACCTGTGCAACCTCCCTTCAGCCTTCTAGGGCATATACAAGGGAGCTGTCTTCTCATCACAGGTCATTTATTCCTCTTCCTAGTGCCCAAGACAGACCAGCTCAAGTGGAAAAGAGTGGGCTGCTTTCCTTGTATTGTATGTCCCTTGTATGCCCCCTTGTAAACAGAGCAGCTGCCCTGTATTGGAGCAGCTGCACCAGGCTGTTTTCCTGCACCGTGCAAGGAGAGAGGGGACAGTCTGGTTAAGGTGCTAGCTATTGTTAAGGGTGAATTCTGTCCTGCCTCCACACCCCTGTGCAGGGCTGTTCACCTCACCAGCCCTGCCTCTCAAACCCACCCAGCACTAGCAAGTCTCACTGTGTGCCAGAGCAAGACCTAAGGGCCTACTTGCAGGAAAACCCAGCATTTACCTTGTGAAGTCTGACTGCTTGCGGAAGGGACCTGACTGGGAAGATGGTGTGAAAAGCACTACACAAAGTCACACTCTGGAGCACAGCTTGCTCCTTTCTTTCCCTTCACCACCTCTCACTTCCCATTTTTGCCAGGTGACTAGCAGACAAAATGCTGTAATTGATTCTTTCAATGCTAAGGGGCTCACATACATTTTCTAAGCAGGTGCTGTCTTTATCCTTGTTGAGGTAATGCTGCTGCCAGAATCGCAGGAGACTGTGGAAGTTGTTCAGGATGAAGCCTGGGTATTTTTCTGTGTACTCCATCTGTTGCAAAGTGTGCAGATAAAAAGGCAGCTTTTCTTTCCTTCGGGCCAGCATTAGGATAACTAAACTTGTGTTCAAACAACTGACATTTTCCTAAAGGTAAAAATGACACAGTAGGTGAGACAAGAAAACCCCAAATCAACCATAAACCCCCCTGAGGTATCAGCTGTACACATCCTTACAAATCATGCTTATGGTAAGCAAGAGGAGCTCCTATGTGTATCAAGAAGGGACATGTGTCTCCTGAAGAGAAGGCAGGTTCCTCCCTGCTCCCAGCCCAGCTCATCACTACACAGTATCAGCAATCTGCAAAGTTACTGTCAGCTCTTTACCTGTGTAAGTGTCTGTACATGAATAATATTAATGAGACGGAAAAGAAAGGACATTCTCATGGACATCTGGGACATATATGACAACAGGCGGCACTCTGACAGGACTTCTGCAACTGCAGCGAGAAGAAAGAGACAGTCATCAGGTGCTTAAAGTTCAGGCAGGGTGGTCCAAGCAACATGCAGTAAGGGCTGGTGCTCAGACCGTAGCAACAAACACGCAGAGTGGTGCTTCTCAGGCTAAAATGAAAGTTTTCAAACCCCAGACTTTAAATAACCACTGCCACTACCAAACACCCCAAACACCACTTCTTATTCAAGGGCCTGTAAGGACAGGCCAAGGGGAATGGCTTTAACCTGCCAGAGGGGAGACTGAGATGAGCTCTTAGGCAGAAGCTCTTCCCTGTGAGGGTGCTGAGGCGCTGGCACAGGGTGCCCAGAGAAGCTGTGGCTGCCCCATCCCTGGCAGTGTTCAAGGCCAGGTTGGACACAGGGGCTTGAGGCAAGCTGCTCTAGTGGAAGGTGTCCGTGCCCATGGCAGGGGTTGGAACTGGATGAGCTTTAAGGTCCCCTTGCAAGCCAAACCAGTCTGGGATTCTGTGATTCTTTACCTTT